TAAGATCACAGGTGGTCTAGTTTGTCTTGCTAAGACTTCTTGAAGAGTAGGTAATCTGTTTCTAGTCATTTTCTTTTGATTTGATGATTTAGTATTTGAATTAAGTTGAGAAGTGATGGTTTGTGGTCTTGGATTTGAAGTTGACATGATTGGATTGGATTGACTGATTTATGAAAATTGATTCCATTATTAGGAGTCTCACATTTCTTATTGGGAGTTTTCTTTTTGTTTTCATTTTAGTTTTCTTTGATTTCGAAAACTCTTAAATTTTATCTTTTTATTTATTGTATGCATATGTTTCCTTTTTGTTGCTACCATAATCAAAGTACCGTAAGCTCTAAAACTTAAGTGCTTAAGTCTCATCGCGTGTGTGGGGGGGGGCCGGCAGGCCGCTGGTGCCTTGACGTGGTAGGCTCTCTGCGTGGTAGGGTGTCGGGGTGGGTGGGAGGTAAAAAGAAAAATTTTTAAGAAATGATTGATCCTCTTTTCTACCTTAATGTTTGTTGCTGTTGGTTAATTAATTTGATTTGTTGAGAGTGAATTTGTTAAAAGATGAAATTTGTCTTTTTACAAATTATGAATTTGATTCCGTTGGGGGAAAATCATTTCCCCATTTCCTCTCGGTACCCTTCTCTACTTCGGGTACCGGGACTACCTGATCCATGTGTTCCTTTTTTCCCTCTCATGGAACTACACAGATACCGTCGTGCCTTTGGGCATCTGTAGCATTCCATTATTAGGAGTCTCACATTTCTTATTGGGAGTTTTCTTTTTGTTTTCATTTTAGTTTTCTTTGATTTCGAAAACTCTTAAATTTTATCTTTTTATTTATTGTATGCATATGTTTCCTTTTTGTTGCTACCATAATCAAAGTACCGTAAGCTCTAAAACTTAAGTGCTTAAGTCTCATCGCGTGTGTGGGGGGGGGCCGGCAGGCCGCTGGTGCCTTGACGTGGTAGGCTCTCTGCTACCTACTCTCGGGACGTATCGTCCGGAGCCTGCGGAGAGCCTACATCGGTACGTCTCGAGGCTAGTCATATTGACGGCCCGTTTCTAGATGCCGAAACCCAATTCCCCTCTGTCTTCTTCTCTTTTTTTTTTTTTTTTTTTTGATTATCATTAGACTCTCGCTCATATCTCAAATCATATAGACCTCACAATTCATTCGGTACATACGATTATTTACAAAAGCTTTTAGGTATGTTCTTTCTTTACCCCTTTCCTAGTCGTTTCATCCAATTTCTCATCTCCTACTTCTTTCAGCTTCATCCAATCCCAAACTAATTTTGCATCTTCTATATCTCCTTTAGTATATTTCCGAAGATATAATTGGTATGCTTTTGATTCCCAACGGCCAGACTTCACGATATCATCCAGAGGTAAGTTTTCGTTCCATTTAAGTGTCGCACCACCTATCCTAAATGAGTGACCTGATAACTGATGATTTTTATCTGACTTTGCCCACACTCTTTTATAAATGTCAATGCCATGGTTTTCGTCAAAGTCAGCCTGTTTCCTTTCTGATCTACGTACGACAACAACCTATCTCTTAAATCATGACTCTTATTCTCCTGTAATACCTTTTCTAAAGCACGGATCGGACATAAATAGGATGGGATATGTTTAATATGTAGATATTGAATCTCGCCTGGCTTTGCTGTTTTAGCGTTGTGTAACGCTAATTTGAAGTACGAGTGATCAGGTGAGTAAATCATATCCCTCCTCAAAATTAAAGCTTTTGTCTTGTCATCTGATACCAATTCTCCTAGTCTCGCCATTCCCCAGAATGCCATCAGGGCTATAGCTAAAGCTAATCGATCACGTTTACTCCCCTTGTCTAGCTCTATTACTAACTCCGCGAGATGCCTCAACTGTACTGGTTTCCTAATGTTACGAGCCTCTTCCTTACACTTCGCATCGGCCATACTCGCCGCTTTCAAAAGTAATTTGGATACTTTATCGTTCTCTGGTGGGAAAGGCTCGTCATGAAATAGATGCCACGACCTAATTCCAGTAATGTACTTTACTAATGTCGCAGCTGTGATTTTATGATTCTCATCTTTTTCATTTAATTCTTCTTCTTCTTCTAGATCGACCTTACATTCCTTTCCACCCCAAACTATAAAGTTCCATAATAAATTCTTAGTTAAAGGTAACAATTCACTTCGTTTTAACTTCTCCGATTCTCCAAATGCTTCTAACTTAGACATCGCCGCACTGTAGTTTTGTAAAGTCGATTGGGACCAACTCCCTTTCAATAACCTCGATTTAACTGCATTTAATTTCCAATCAATCACTCCATCTTTATTTTTTAGAAAATTTACTATCTTTTTCTCATTCGTCATCATCTTTACTAATCCCTCACCAATAGACCAGTTAAATCCCTCGGTAAGTTTATCCTAACCTCTTTACTATAATTCTTGTTTTTCTCTAGGCCTCGTGATAGCTTGTCTGCTTCGTTGTCACCGGAAGAGACTCGTTTTGCAGTTATTGAACAGTCCAACCTTGTGAGTACTTTCTGAATCTCCTTCCACTCCTCGTTTACTAATCGATTCTTAGATTTAAATTTACTAATTGTCGATTCTGTAGTGGTGTTATCAGTGTAGACAACGAAGTTACGGTCTTTTGTCGGCATGAGTTGTTCGATCATTAGTAAGCCTACTCGTACAGCCACGGTTTCCAACCATGCTATATCACGCTTCTGACATCCTAGTGAAATGTCTTTAGTCTTCCAGTTTTCAACTAGTGTGAAACTCGTCCATTTCTCGCCTATAAGAACTCCGATACCGTAACCAGTACTTGCATCACCAACCCACCCGATTTCTGTAGGTTCCGAATCTGCTTTAAACTTCAATCGATCAAAGTTTCCAAAACTTTTCCGCCACTCTCTCAACTCCGCTTTCGCGCCTTCTGGTAACTCCCTCAACGCGCTAGTGTTGTACCAGGATTTATCGAACCAGTACAAATTCCACATGTAGCATTTCATAAAAGGTAAGATATATATCATATGGCTCAACTGACCTACGATCTTCTCGACTTCTTTCTTCGAACACTTCTTTGTTGGTAATAGTAAGTCATCAATTTTCTCTATCCTTTCTGCTAACTTCTCCGCTGGTAATCTGACTGACTTGTCTTCCCCGTTCCAAATAAATCCCAGATATTTTTGCTCAACATTCCAGTCGGAGAATTTCTCTTCATTTGATTGTACACCTAAACCATTGCTAATTTGTATAACATCTTTCATATTAAGTAAGTCTCCTTCTATCTTCACAAACATATTGTCATCCACCCAACGAAAGATCTCCCTAACATTTAATAATGATTTGATAATGTCTTTCCACGCATCAGCTAGCCATCCGAAAGTACCACATCCAGCTACTCCTCCAAAGGGAATCCGAGTATCAATCCAAATATTACCGTCAAAGTCTTTTATCGTTAAGTACTTCCATTGGTAAGCTGGAGTTGAACCTTGCCTATAAGCCTTCTTCCAATCTACGATGGCTAACAGTATTTTATTTCCTATGTTAATTATAAAGTATCTAGCCACCTTATTGAAATCATCCCACGTCGTTTCGAAGTCTTTCTTATCAACAAAGGAATTAACCGACGGGATATCTTCATCATGTGGGTTATATTTTGCGGACTTTATCCACTTCATGGCTGCGTCTGTGTGCAAGTCTTCGTCATCTACATCTGACTCAGATTCTTGATCTACATTTGAATTAATTTTCCTTTTCTTCGTCGGAACTACTTTTGAACGTGGGTAAGAGAGATCGTTTATCATCCTTAGCGAACCATCATTGTTGGTCACACTCCCCATTGGGTTTGATCTAAAGAAGCCTAATCGACTATGTACTTCTTCGTGAGTAAACGGTCCGTATATTCTTCCCAATTTCCTTTCTTTACATAAGTTCTTCATGATTTTGTCTTTCACTGCTAAAGCTGACTTATGATTGTCTGGAGTAAACCACCGATTTTCATTCCATATATGATGTGGTATTCCCTGGTCGAAGCCTTTCATTAGGCCTAGCCATACTTTCCTCCATTTTTCGGTAAGACCACATTCCTCCAGCAAGATCCTCCACTCTTCTAACCGCATCTCGCATTTTGCTTCCGTTGGCCAGCTTTTAAGTGAATCAGGGTCGTCAACAATGTATGTCTCATCTTTTCCTCTAATCTCTGATTCTTCAATTAGAATCTCAGTCTGATTTGGGTTACTATCATTCACCATTTTATTACTGCCGCGCCCACCAAAACAACAACATAAAGAAAAAGGAAACAGAGACAAAGAAACAATAATCAGTTATCTAAACAAGTTTCAATATAACATTTCAGCGATAGTCACATCATAACCGAGGGGGGGGGGGGCATCAAAGACGAGACAACAACACTTTTTCATTCATATGAGTATAAGAAGCGGAGAAAAATTGAAATTATAACTGGAAATAAAAGCAGGTCCCTTCTTTCTCTCTTCTTTTTTTTTTTTTTTTTTCAACTCACTTTGAGCCAGATGCAGTTCCACCAACATTTCCGCCAGGATTCTTATTGCCTGTCGCGGCTTCTTCCTTATTAAAACTTCCAGGGCCAATTGCTGGACGAATACCTCCACCTCTACCGCCTCCTATTCCTCTATTTCCTCTATAACGCCGGACCTTGCCCCAATCCTTGAATACCACCACCACCTCTACTATTATTAAAATTTGGTATGAATGGTGCTTGACTATCATAAGAAGGTGGAGTATAATAATAAGGCTGAGTATGATATGAACTATTCGCATAATCAGTATGATTCACATAAGGAGCAGGAGTTTGTGGGTTTGGACGTGTGTAGAAGGGGTTGAACTTCGTTCCTTTATATCTGACCGCTTTCCCATTTGCGAGTACCGGTAAAGAATTATTAACAACTTGATTTATTGGTTGATTGTTGGTTGCAGATAAATTTCTCCCGGTTAACATTTCAGCTTGGGTATCTACGAGGGCACTACTTGAATCCCACGGGGCGTTTAAAGGGTAAGTCTCCCCATTAATTGGACTAATGTGTTGCATCACGTTACCAAAGGCATAGGGATTATCAGTATAATTATAATCATTGAAATGTTTCGCGTCTTCCTTCGCTCTTTCAGCTAATTCAACATTTAATGTTCCTACATCGGCCATGGACCCATCAGGTAAGCGACTTTCCCAAACATTACGACGATGCGCGATATCGTATCTCATAGCTGGAGTCCACTTCCCGTAGCAATTCACCTGGATTTTCAAAACATTTTCTTTATGCGCACGTAATCTTGGGGCGATAGGTGAGTCCTTCTGACTATCTAAAATATCATATCTCTCTTCTTGATATTGAATCATTAAATTAAATCTAGTTGACCATTCATTTGAAGTTAATCTATATTCATTTATATAAGGTAAACCGACATAAGAAATAATATTGGTTGAGCAACTAGTTTTAGTTGATCTAGTCTTCATGAATAAAGCATCTTGCATAATCCAAATGGGATCAAAGATTGAAACAGGCATGTGTATGTTTTTATTGATCATAATGTCGTGAAAGTACTGAGATAACCCCGTCATATTATTCGCAGGTAAACTTCCTATAGTCATTTTGGTATTCGATTCAGTCTTCGACTTGGGTTTATCTTTTGAACTTTCAACTCGAGTATCAGCATCTTTCTTCTTCTCTTTAAATGTAAAATTCATCAAGCCTATATCTCTAGGTTCGGTATTCTCGTTCTGACACCAAAATTGATATTCTTCTCTGAAGACTCTATACTGATTTCTAATGGTTCAAGAAAATCTTCACATCAGATACTAATGACTTATCTACTCATTATAGGTCACGGAATCTTACATCATATCTCTTTCTAACGCCTCATTTATATTAGACAACCATTTCGCATGACCATGTTCTATTTGAACTGATTCGGCCATATTCTCTTCGTCAGGACCTAAACCAGAATTTTCCAAACACAAAAACAGAGTTTTGGTAAGTCATCTTATATCTTTTTTTTTTTTTTTTGAACGTTTCTACTCTTTATATTTAGATTTTATTCCTTTGTTCGGGTCAGATACATATTTCCTTGTTGGAGAAGGTAGTCGTAACTAATCTCTTGTTTGGAATTTTTTTTTTTTTTTTTTTTTATGTAGGTCTTAATATATTGCCTTTTTATTTTCTTCGGAAATTCTTTTCTTTCATAGGCCACTCTGGGAATTTTTATCAAAACTTCTGGCCACTCTGGAATTCTCTAACAAATTTTCGGTCACTCTGGAATTTCGAAAAAGTTCTGGCCACTCTGGGAAATTGAATATATATAGGCCACTCTGGGAAATCAAAAACTGAAGTTGTATAGGCCACTCTGGGAGTAAACATAGGGCATCAAGAGGGGGGGGGAATGGAGGAATTCATGACGAGTGTGAAACTAGTAGAAAGAATTCTAAGACGAAATGAGAAGATGTGGAACTAATTGTGCACAAGGGAAATATAGAAAAAGCTATTCTCTTCATCTCTAATCAAGTTGATTACTAACCTATTCCTGTTATATTACCCACTTGACCATTTCCTTCATTTCTCCCATTCGAATTCTCGACATCATCTCCTCCATTTCCACCTCCATTTCCTTCTCCATCTCCATTTTCATTATCTCGATTGTTACCACCAGGATTATCAGTTAAGTCATCTTTTGATTTATTGTTATCACCATTCTCTTCGTCTCCTTTTTGATTACTACCTTCTTCTTCCATAACCGTAGTTAACGCTTCGTTTTTCTTACCTTTCCTAGTTCTAGGCTTATTTCCTTCAGGTTGTCCTGGAGTAGGAGCACGGGGGGGGATGTTCTCTAGACCAGCTGGTAGATTCGGGTTAGACATTTTTAAACGATGAAAAAAAAATTTCTTTTAAATAGATGTATATTCGGATATGTTTTTCTTCTTAATAGAGTTAACGATGATATAGTTGATTATTAGTTGGTAGTAGTCTTTTAATAAAAGAGGAAAATAAAAAGAAAAATTTTTAAGAAATGATTGATCCTCTTTTCTACCTTAATGTTTGTTGCTGTCGGCTATTAATTTGATTGTTTGAGAGTGATTGTTA